GATTCAAGCGGCTGGAAAGAAGTCCATGGTTGGTGCTGCATGGGGAGCTTGCGAGAAGATGATTAGCTCCGGGTGCTTCCCTGATGAGAAGAAGGCCGGTGAGATTGTGACCTTCTTTTGCAAGGGGAAGAAGTTGACGGAGGCACATTCAGTATACCTAGCAGCGAAGGAGAAGAAGGTTCAGATTCCTACGTCATCCTTGGATTTCCTTGTTGGTGCTTTGGCGAAGAATGACGAGACCGTCAGTTTGGCTCTGGAGCTGCTGGAGGAATACAAAGGAGAGTCTCTTAAGCATGCAGGCAAGTCCTTTGCTGCCGTTATACATAGTTTGTGCAGGATGAAGAATGTGAAGGATGCAAAGAAGCTGTTGATGAGGATGGTGAATCTTGGCCCAGCTCCTGGTAGTGCAGTGTTCAACTTTGTCATCACAGGATTGTCTAAAGAGGGAGAAATGGAGGACGCAAAGGATATGATTAGGGTGATGGAGAGCCGAGGGCTGCGCCCTGATGTTTATACATACAGTGTGATCATGAGTGGCTATGCAAAGGGGGGCATGATTGATGAAGCCCATTCTCTACTTCGCGAAGCTAAGAAGATCTATCGAAAACTAAACAGGGTTTCTTATCACATACTGATCCGTGGTTACTGCAAGATGGAGGAGTTTGGCAAGGCCCTGGAGTGCCTAAAGGAGATGAAGCAGGACGGGGTGCAGCCAAATGTGGATGAGTACAACAAACTCATCCAGTCGTTATGTCTGAAGGCTATGGACTGGAGAACAGCTGAGAAGCTCCTGGAGGAAATGGAGGGCAGTGGACTATACCTTAAGGGCATTACCCGCAGCCTCATAGCAGCAGTCAAGGAGTTGGAAATGGAAGAGGCTTCAAAAGACAGCCAAGAAGCATAGTTTCTCTAGGATGCGCTTGAAGTTACACATCCGCTAATCAGTTTTGGGGAATTTGCCCTCTTTTTGCTCTCTGCATCTCTGGTGAGGTTATGAAAAACACCAACTTTTGTACTTGTCTGCTTGTTGTTAGATGCTAAAATAATATTGCATTTGTATTATAAATGCTGGACCGGCAGGGATGCATATTTAATTTTGGTCTAGAGTTTCTGTTTCTGCAGAAGTAGAGAACCAAGAGAGTTTTCACGCAATTTTTGATCCAATCTTATGACTTGCCAAAGGAGAATACATGTTTGCCTATTCCCAAAGCAAGAGTCCTTGCAAACCAAAGAATGGATTTTGTTTTTTGGGATGTGGCTAACAAATCAAAAGGAAAAACATGTTGATGCAGCAGCAGGTACCTGTTGGTGCTTTGTGCGTGATGTACAAGAACATGCCTATATGCTGTTATCCTGTAAAACATCGGAATGACAATGCTATATTATTTATAATATGCAATTCATAGTTTTGTTGGCACTAGTAACTGACTCCGCGAAGACACTTCCATTGATATGATTTTTAGGGACATGTATTGCCAATTAGTCTGCTGCTATATGCTGGAGTAATTTTCTGGGAATGCACTTGATGGTATATTACTAATGTGCATTCAGCGATAACACTCTCCTGCACAATCTGCAGGGTCTTTTGTGCACTATTCGGAGCATGATTTGACGAGTTTAGTGTCTGACTATTCAGCCTTTCATTTGGTTTTGATTTTATATCTGCGACCCTTTGAAAACACACAACAGTGCCTGCCCAGTTTTGTGCAATCGCCGCATTAGCTTAGGTTACTGCGATCATTGCGCACGTTTTTTGCACATAGAGCAAGCTTAATTCCCAGCTGAATCAAATTTTGAATAATCGTCTGGCTCAGGCCTAATCAGGAGTGGTAGATGCTTTGCAGCTGGAAACAAGGCAGTTTCTGAAAGTTTGTGTGTGCAGTTGCTCGTATGCTAGACCTGTGAATATAGCAATAGCAATAGAGCTTCGTGATTGCGTCAAGATTTTGATTCTGAGTTGTGCACGTGGCTGCTGTGTGGCAAAATAGTCGCTTTGATTTAGTTGTCTGCTCCGCTGGGTTAAAGATATTGCTGCTGTGTTCAGATCACCGTGTATCAGAAGCGAATCTAGGTTCGGCTGGGCACATATATACTTTGTGCTCTCGTTTCGTTTCCAAGCTAAGCTATTCATTCCATTTCGTGCTGATATACAGGGTCTAATGCACATATTTTGAGATTTACTTTGAACATGATTTAGATCGATAATATTATGTGAGATGTATGCCATGGAAGCTATATTGCCGTATCCATATTTGAAAGGAGTTCCTAGCGATATAAATTTTGTAGCATACATCTCACATGATATTTTGTTCATATTGATGGTCAACGTGATTTTGAAATTCTTACGTATTAGGCTATATATATCATCCTTATACGATTCGTCCTATGCTTTGGTGCATGATGTACAAGAACATGCCTATATGCTGTTACCGTGTAAAGGATCGGAATGACAACGCCATATTGTTAATATGCAATTCATAGGTTTGCTCGCATTGGTAACTGATTCAGGGAAGATACACTTTCATTGATATGATTTTTAAGGATGTGTATTGCCAATTAGCCTGCCATATAATGGAGTAATTTTGTGGGAATGCACTCGATGATATATTACCAATGTGTATGTATTCACAGATAACACTCCTGTGCAGTAATCTGTTGGTCTTTTACGCACTATTCGGAGCATAATTTGATTGCAAGACTAGAAAATATGGTCTATTCGATGAGTTTGGTGCCTGACGATTCAGCTTTTCATTTGGTTTCAATTTTATATATCTGCGATTCTGCTGAAAACACAGAACGGTGCCTGCCGGTTTTCTGTGTAGTCACCGCATTGGCTTAGGTTACTGCGATCATTGCAGACTTTTTTTTTCTGCACATAGAGCAAGCTGAATTCCCAGCAGCTAGCGGTAAGTGGTTCTTGAAATATCAGCCAAACACTCCCTTTGTTAAAAAAAACACAAATACTCCCTCTGTAAGAAATGTAAGGTCGTTTAGATCACTAGTTAGAATTCTTTTCGAGAGAAAAGAGAGATACTGCAACAAGTGTTATATGTCTTGCCAGTGCTGTTGTGCGTGACAGAGATGGCTAATGAGAAAAACTAAAAGTGCTGGCTGAAGGCAGAGGCAGCAGCTGCTTCCATCTCAAACCAAAATAGCAATACTTAATTAGTCCCTTGATACCCTCAAAAAAAATATATTTAGTCCCTTGATTCAGTTGCCTGCTCCATTCCGTCGGGGTTGTGATATTGCTGTTGTGTCGTGGTCAGCTGCCAGCAGTCGCCCATTCTTCTTCTTTGTGCACTGATGATAGCCTGGCTGGAATGCGTTGGTTGCGCTGTCAAGTGATGCTTGATGGTGAACGCGATCACACTTGGCAAGCACCAAGCAGGGATGCAGAGCCACGTGCCATATCTTATGGCGCGATGATGTTATCCTATCGGTGTGCGTCACGAGCGAACCAGTGCAGTTAGGCTGTGCACATACTTGGCCTCGGTCGTCGTTTCCAGCTACTCCCTCCATCCCGATATACAGGGCCTAATACATATTTTGAGATTGCTTTGAGCGCGCATAAAATCAATAACACACGAGATGTGTCTCACGAAAAAGTATATTTGGTGTGTCATACTTGAAAGGAGTTCCTGGTGATATATTCCCTCTGTCCCGAATTACTTGTCACAGAAATAGATAAAAACGGATGTATCTGCAATAAGTAAGTCCGGATGGAGGGAGTAGTAATATTTATTTATAGCCCTATATATTCGGACTGAGGGAGCAGTTAAACCTGAGCTATAATTTAGCACATAAGTAAACAGTGGCCAATTTCAAAACGAAAAAAAGACAGAAAGAAACAGTGGCCGTCCATGGTGACAATCAGGATCTGATCCGAGCCTTATCATAGTATATTTGCACTCTCCATGCGCTTGGGAAGATAAACTAGACTACTGGTATTGTTTAGGGTTTCAGCAACTGAAGCTCTGCCGGCCACTCGCATCTTCTATCGGGATGCGGCCAGAGCCAGGCAAACGGACGGACGGCGGCAGATTGTCCTCTGCATGTTTTTTTATATTTGATTTGATTCAAGTGCTGTTCGAATTTCGAAATGGTCGGTCCTACGCAGGCTGCAAATCAGGTGTGCTGCTTTCTACCGAGCTTCAGAGGAGACGAGTGCACACAAGAGCATCTCCCTTTATATGCTATATATATAGTTTTCACTAACTAAAAGAAGAAATAAATGCTTTAATCGGTGCAACGAAAACAAAAGCAAAAGGATATATCTGTTTCCTTGGAGCATCTCCAGTAGCTTCCTAAAAAACTTTTGGTCACAAGAGTAAGATAATATTTGTGTCGGATCCTAAAGAAGATTTATTTATGCTAACGGCCCAACGAAGAAGAAAACAAGAAAAAGATTGACTCGACCCATGAGAGTGGTGCGAACCAACCTCTGATTGAATGATTAGAGGGACAATGGTATCCCAGCCCATCAGAGTTCATGTTTTGATACTCACATTATTTCTGGATTTATTTCTGAAGTTTCCGCGATACGCTTTCAGTGAAAGAAGATGTTCTCATCGACAACGAGACGCCTACGGTGACTTCGTAAAATCTCAAGATGATGCGTCGGTTCAGTCTCTCGAAAATGATCATAGGGATAAGGTGTGCGTGTGTGCGTCCATATGAAATTATGGATGAGTGTATGCGCGTATGTATGAATGTTTGGGTCTAGAAAAAAAGACACGTGAGTGTGGTTGGGTGGGTTTGGGTGAGTTGTAAACCAGATCCAAACCGGCAGAGAGCGACTGCAGTCTGCGGCCGCTCTCCCGCGGACTCGCCGGCCCCGGCCGCACCCTCGCCTATATCTACGCGACGCGACCCCCTCAGTCTCGCTCGCAGCGCCTCCCAAACCTTCGCCCACCCACGCGCCTCACGGTCGCGCCGCGCCGGATCGGGATCAAGTCACGCTTAGCACCACGCGGCCGCTCTCGCTTTCGCCGTCGCCGGGAATGGGGAGCACGGCGGGCGAGGTCACCCGCGCCGACTTCCCCGAGGGCTTCGTCTTCGGCGTCGCCACCTCCGCCTACCAGGTCCGTCTAGACTGTCACTCGACTCTACCGGTGCTAGCAGCCGCTACGGGTACTACCTTAGGTTGGTGAATGGTGGCGGTGGCCGGTGGGTCACCGGGTCGCGTCTCGGCCGCCGATTGCTGATCCCTGCTCCACCCCCACGCCGCTGTGTGGTGTGACAGCGCGTCGCCCTCGCCCGGTAGCCCACGCCAACGACGCCTGTGTACTTTCGCTTGGTTGCGCTGCCTTCATGCTATTGGCGACTTATCTTTGAAAAAGCAAAGTAGGACGGTGACCGAGCAACGACCCCTCTGCTTTCACCAAAAATAGATGAAGCAAATTAATGGGTTCCTATATCTGATTTTTATGCGGTCGAGCCAAACACCCTCTCCTCTAGTAAATTTATCTATCAAAAAAAGGGAAGTGGCAAAGTAATCAACAAATTGTAATCGTTTGACTACAACATACATATGGACAGACTTAATATCAGGGAAATTTATCTTAGGAGTGGAAAATCGGCAAGTGGTTGTGAATGGACATAGTAGTCAGAAGTAGAGCACTATTTGCCAACGGAGGCGGTATGCGTTTAGTTGGAGATTGGAGAGGAAGAAATGTACATGGGAAGGGAAGGCTGACAGGAAATGATCTTTTCCCCTATTGGCTGAGAAACCTTAACTGAACTGATAAAGTAGAGAAATGGATAGGGGATTTGCCATCCGTATGTTGTCGTATATGTTCCCCGCTTTTGTTTTCTCTCGGACATGTGTCGAAACACGCATCATTTCATATTAGAAGAAACGACAAAAAATGCGTTAAGAGTACAGCCAGCCAAAAGACGAAGCAAATTATAACAAAACAGAGCAAATTTTAAGAAACAAAAAAAAAACAGAGCTAAAACAGAGCAAATTTTGAGAAGAAAAAAAAACAGAGCAAATC